TAAGTTAATATATAATTATATATACAGTACCTAATTTATATATAATTAATATATAATTATATGTACAGTACCTAATTTATATATAATTTATATAATACTGTCCAGACGATAGAAATCTCTCCGTAGCGTGGCGCTACGGACAGCGGGAAAGTAGTTCGGCTGCCCGATGACGTTTAACGTAATTATAGAGGGTTTTTTACCGTTTTTTATGGATACCATCACAATTTTTTTGCGGTTTTAGAGGAATCATAATTATTGGGACTGTAATTATAGGGGGGTCGACTGTACTGGCAGAGCAGAATCAGGTTAAATACACTGATACATAAATGAACAAGTATACATGCATACAGTATATAATTACATTGAGATAGTGTTCAAACAATATGACAACATTAGTGAAAATGATATGAACAGATGAAGAGATGATCGATTCAAACCAACCAACATGATAATTAGCTTGAGAGTAGAATAACAACCAATACAGTAAAAGTTAAAAAAGAATACAACTTAAACAGTAGGTGAATAGAGAAAAATGATGTGTACACGGAGATACAGTGCAGCAGATAACCAGAGTAGTAGTGGTTTGGGCCATACTGATCACAAAATCAAATTAAATTAATTGAAATAATGTTTTCTAATGATTTATTATAATGTATCTTTCTGGCTCAGTGCCAGCAAAAAACTAGGTAACTAGACAATGTTAATTTTGACAAAATGTTNTAATAAAATTAAGATTGTTTAATATGCTTTATATATTATAGTATTTGAATTTAATCTATTTAAAACTCATAAACTTCAAATTATGTCATATAATCCTCTAAGAATAATTTTAAAAATACATATTCTAGAAAAAAAGATTTTAGTAATAAATACATACATGTCCTAAACTTAAGGATAGATGACATTTTTACATGAATAGAGAGAACTGTAGATGAATGCAGACAACTATTTACTCAATGTCTAACAAAGGGTAAAATACAGCAACTTGTAGCATTTTACAAATCAAAGCAACAAAAAATACATACTACAGTTGTACATAGGTGGAGAATAGATAGAAAGTGCTTACTAATAACCAGGCAGAGAGATCTGTCAATATGGAATATATTCATCTTAAATTGTGATTCAGCACTGACAATGTCATGATAGCTCATCACTGAACAATTGCTAATGAAGATATCTAGAAAAAATTGCTGGTCACTGACTTTTTCTAGATATTTCCACTAGCAATTGTGTTAATGATCATCCTGAAATTTTGGACATGTGTGTATTAGTGGTGTTACAGTTTCAAAACAGATTGAGATTGAAACAAATAAATTATTCTTTTAACAGCTCTCAATGAATTTTTTAAATTTCCTACATGATTTGATTTCATTTATATTTTGTAAACAAAAAAGAACATTGCACAAAATTATTGAATATATGATGATTGAAGATTACATATTTGCTGATGAACAAAATAGACTCTCACAATTTTGTCAAAGACATCTATTCCAAACATCCATAGTATAGAAAACACTATACCAACAAATGAATTAAACACACAGAACTCAGCTAAGAAATACAGCACTTATTGAAAATGGATATAAAGTGTTTATTGTACAGTACATGCAGTCTTCTGTGAGAACCCAGACTAGTGTAAATTTGATGATTTCAATCTTATTTTTTTTTTATCAGAAAATAAAAAAGAGAAATATTCCATTTTAGAGATTCAGTCAAGGAACTTTTTAAGATTTCCTTGACTGAAGAGGAAGTGCTTTCCAATGGATAGCACTTCCTCTGTGAGTGACTTTCGAAAAACTACTCATTGTGGGAAATAGGGGGAAAAAATTGCAGATAGGAGCAACCTTTTTTTTTTCTTCTTTTATCTTTATTTATTCCCAATACAGTCGACCCCCCTATAAGATCATAGATACGTTCCATTTTTTAGGAATCCGATTTCTTACAAGTCGTTCCAATCACAGCCTGACACGTGTAAAGTTTACGGACTATGGCTGTTTGAAAGGTTTTCTTCCATAAAATTAATCGATTCTAGACTAATCCGACTCAACATTTCCAAAATACGTATATATTTTTTGGAAATAATCCGTATAAACTACGCTATAAACAAAAAATTGTAGGATTACTTACTGAGTATGCACCATTCGACAACCCCATTGCTAAAGCTTGTTTTCGTCGCGGAACAGCACACCAAACCACGGCCGATTTCTGATAACTTATTTTTCTGCGAAAACTTCGTTGAACTTCGGAGACATCATTAATATAAATAATTTT